AAACTGAAGTCCCGGGAGCTGCAGGGGACCCAAGTTTGGGAAAGCCTCCTTTAAAGCAACTTTTGCGTTGGGACCTGTCCACATTTGTATTTTCTTGTATTTTGTTTTTCTCATGACCTTTGTGCGGTTTTTAAAATGTCTTAAAAGGGCAAATTTAAAGCAAAATTGTATGGCAAGTAGCGGAAGAATAAAAGGTTGCATTTGAAAAAACACAAAGAAAACCTAGGGCGTGGCCTCCTCAAATATTTTATGGGGGCAAAGACCCCTAGGAATTTAAGAGTGGCTGTATTCCCTACACCCACACGTCTCAGGATGCTTGGAACATAAAAACACAACATAAAAACACAAAACATCACATGTTAAAATAGCATTAGATGTCAATAAGAAAAAGGCCTGGTTAAAAAGGTGTGGATTTGCCTGGCTCCTAAAGCTGTATAATGGTTTTTCTGACCTTTGTACGGATTCTTTGATGGGAAGTGAGAGAGGAGCTCTTCCTGAAGCTCTTTCCACATTCCACACACTGATAGGGTTTCTCCCCTGTATGAATTCTGTGATGGTAAGTGAGTTTAGAGCTAACAGTGAAGCTCTTTCCACATTCCACACACTGATAGAGTTTCTCCCCTGTATGAATTCTTTGATGGGAAGTGAGAGAGGAGCTACATGTGAAGCTCTTTCCACATTCCACACACTGATAGGGTTTCTCCCCTGTATGAATTCTGTGATGGTAAGTGAGAGAGGAGCTACATGTGAAGCTCTTTCCACATTCCACACACTGATAGGGGTTCTCCCCTGTATGAATTCTGTGATGGTAAGTGAGTTTAGAGCTAACAGTGAAGCTCTTTCCACATTCCACACACTGATAGGGTTTCTCCCCTGTATGAATTCTTTGATGGCGAGTGAGAGAGGAGCTCTTCCCGAAGCTCTTTCCACATTCCACACACTGATAGGGTTTCTCCCCTGTATGAATTCTTTGATGGGAAGTGAGAGAGGAGCTACATGTGAAGCTCTTTCCACATTCCACACACTGATAGGCTGTCTCCACTGTATGAATTTTGTGATGGGAAGTGAGAGAGCAGCCATCAGTGAAGCTCTTTCCACATTCCACACACTGATAGGGTTTCTCCCCTGTATGATTTCTTTGATGAGAAGTGAGAGAGGAGCTCTGATTGAAGCTCTTTCCACATTCCACACACTGATAGGGTTTCTCCCCTGTATGAATTCTTTGATGGGAGGTGAGACCGGAGCTCTTGCTGAAGCTCTTTCCACATTCTACGCACGGATAGGGTTTCTCCCCTGTATGAATTCTTTGATGGGAAGTGAGAGAGGAGCTATGAGTGAAGCTCTTTCCACATTCCACACACTGATAGGGTTTCTCCCTGTATGAATTCTTTGATGAGAAGTGAGAGAGGAGCTGTGACTGAAGCTCTTTCCACATTCCACACACTGATAGGGTTTCTCCCCTGTATGGATTCTTTGATGGGAAGTGAGATTGGAGCTCTTCCTGAAGCTCTTTTCACATTCCACACACTGATAGGGTTTCCCCCCTGTATGAATTCTTTGATGGCAAGTGAGATTGGAGCTATGAGTGAAGCTCTTTCCACATTCCACACACTGATAGGGTTTCTTCCCTGTATGAATTCTTTGATGGCAAGTGAGAGAGGAGCTATGAGTGAAGCTCTTTCCACATTCCATGCACTGATAGAGTATCTTTCCAATGAGATTTTGTTGATGGGAAGTGGAATTGGAGCTCTGACTGCAGCTTTCTCCACACTCCAATTTTTTGTGTGGTTTCTCCTCTCTGGGGATTTTTTCGTGGTCACCTTTGTTCTCAATTTCCAATTCATCACAATCTGCATCGGAGACAAAAAGGGATTAGAGCCTCAGGAACAAATGGAGAAGAACTGAAGGGAGTTGCGTGTGTGTTCATTACCTATGTTGTTTGTTTAATATGAGATTCGGATGAGCTGTTGAATGTTGCTTTGTTTATATAAAGTAGGGGTGAAAATTGTGGACGATTTTTGGAAAAAAGTGTATTTCAGAGGTTTGATGGCTTATAACACCACTTCATTTGGAGTAATGTCATAAAATTATATATCAATGGAAAGATAATTTGATCAAGAATGCAATCAAGAATGCAATCCAACAAAGTTTGTTCAATTACCTGTATTTAATCAAATGTTATAGCCAAATAACCAGAAAAAGGAAGCACAACTTGCTTAGGTTGACTTTTGTCAGTGTGTTATGTGATTGCTATCAAGTAGGTTGGTTTTTTGTGTTCTTTCATTTAGTGAGGGTATAAAACATAATAAAATTATAGAAATGGCACAAAGAGTTGAATGGTCCCCAGAAAGTGATGTAAGATTGTACTATTAAGTGAACAAGGCTACAGTTATGAAGAAATGTAGAAGAGAGATTGGGGAAAACTTAACCAAAGTTGGCCTTTCTATATTTTTGAAGAGGTATAAGGAGACTTAGTCACTACAAAATCAGACTTGTTAAGGCAGGGAAAGGTGTACAAAGGCAAGTGACGATGGACGAGTGGAGAGACTTTGCCTACAAGACAGAAGAAAATAATCTGGGTGTATACAAGATGACATGGCGCAATGTAATGGGAAGTTGAGTGCAAGGACTGGTCTAAATGTTAGAATTCTAAGGAAAAAGCCATTGTTATCTCTCAAGCATAGGTTGAAAAGATTAAACCCATGTTAACTGGACAGTGGAACAATGGGACACTACCTTGCTTGGTAGTGATGGTACGAAATATGCAAGTTTCTTTAATTGGAGAAGAATCAGAGAAGATTTACATCCTACTTGCATTACACTGACTGTGAAACACCCAGACAGTGTGATGATCTGGGGTTGTATGGCAGCAAAAGGTGTGGGCAGAATTTGCGTCATTAATGGGAATATAAATGCGGAAAAATGCATAAACGAAAAACGTGAGCCCAAACTGAAGTGTTCCGCAGGTGATCTTTTCCCAGATACTGAAGCATTTATATATTTTCAACAGGATTCAGCTCTATGTCGTGTTGCTGCTGTGTGCAAAAGGTGCATTCAAGATAATGATATTTCACTGCTGGAATGGCCTGGGAATAGCCCACACTTTAACCCAATCAGAAATCTTTGGAGCCGACTAAAGAAATTTGTTATTCAGAAGCAACCCAGCAATAAAGCCCAATTAACAGAGGCAATAATTCAGTCTTGGTTTCACATTATTACAGCTGCAGAACTAAAAACTTGGTTCACTTCATGGGAAGGCGTTGTAAGGCCGTAATTAAAGCTAAACGTTACCAATGGTTACCAAAGGTTTCACGTTTTTTCTTTATGACTGCTGTTCTAATAAATACTCCTTCATAAAATTCATTGCATTACATCCTTCATTATCTTTCCATTACTATATAATTTTATGGTATTACTCCACACAAAAGTAGTGTTATGAGCCATCAAACCTCAGAAATACACTTTTCACAAAAGGTTTCCACAATTTCGGCCACTAGGAGAAGTTGTTCATTTTAAAGTTAATGTTTTCTTTATATGGGATCAGATTATTATTATTTATGTTTCATGATTATATGTGTGTTGGAAGCTGCCCAGAGTGGCTGGGGGAACGCAGCCAGATGGGCAGGGTATAAATAAAAATTATTATTATTACTACAGTGGTACCTTGATTTAAGAACAGTCCTCTTCTGGAAAAGATTAAGTTTGTAAACCGAGGTACCACTGTATCATCATCATCATCATCATCATCATCATCACCACTGCTACTTCTACCTGAAATTCAATAAGCCTAGCTCTTCTCTGGGATGAATTTTGTTTGGCCCAGTCATGGCATCCCTCCATCTCCAATGTCAGTCGTCTCTTTGGTCAACCCAAGACTGACAGGAGCAAAAACAAAAACAGAAAACCTGAAGCTACTTATCTTTCCTAACAATTCTGAAGCTGACATTTAAGATGGCCTGGGCAGTTCAGACCAGCCCAATCATGGTAGAAAAAGGGATAATTTGAGGAAGATTGTTCAAAGAAAAAACTGTAAGTTACTGTTTATTGTGGGGGTGTTATAGGGGGCGCTGTTGAGCTCTGTGAAAATTTATGAGGTTGGTCCATAGAGGTATTTTTGGAATTTCCAGGCAGATATGACGATCCCACAGGGAGCCTTACCAAGAGAGGCCACGATCCCACGATTCTCCTCCATGACGTCCTTATGCAGAGCTCTCTGGTCAGGATCCAGCAACGCCCACTCCTCGTCCGTGAAACGAACAGCGACATCTTCAAAGCACACTGGACCCTAAAAGAAAAAGGGAAATGTCCTCCTCTGAGACAGCAGAAATATGATCTGCTCCACAATGCTCTGTTGTTTCCTTCCTGTACATTGTGGTGTTGTTTTAATACGATTGCTTTGCTGCACATTTTAATTATGGATGCTTATTTTAATCTGCATTTTAATTATGGGTATTCGTTTCTGCGCAAATAGGTGGTACTCCACCTTGTGTTTTTCAAGTCATTCTGCCTACGCAAGCATTCCAGTTTCCCCAATGGAAGGATCCACTTTCTCCTCTCCTTGTGAGCCGTTCTGGGGAGTTCCCTCCCAATGCCCTAGAGTCAAATCCAAGGGGGTCATGGGGGCATGGAGAGGGGGAGGAATGGGGGGGCAGGCCCCATTTTGCAGCCGATGGGGCTGGTTAGGTGAATCCAGGCCACTATTTGTTCTCATTTGTCCACTGCTTAGAAACCAATTTTTGCATTCAGTTATCAATCTAGAAATAAAATAAGCCTCTTTTGGATGGTCATCTGTCTTGGATGATCTAGCAGAGATTCCTGCATTGCAGGGGGTCTCCTGGCTCTGAGAGACAAGCAGGGAGGGTGGCTTCTGGCAAAAGGAGAGGGTTAAAAACCGGTGGCTCCTCCTTATCCTGACTCACCTCAGCCTCTCGACCTTCCTCTCCCACTCGCCTCCTTCCTCTTCTGCCTCTGATTCTGCGCTGCATTCTGCCACAGAATCTCCCAGCTCACTAAACCCTGTTACTTCTTCGGCTTCTGATATCTCCTCTTCCCAGTCTTTTCCCTATTCTTCCTCTGACCGCTCATCCTTCCTCCACCTCCAATCCTTGGGCTCTCAGCCATCTTCCCTTCCTGGTTCCCCGGCTGCTTCCTCCCACCACTCCTCTGTGCCCAACCAGTCCATGACATTGCTCCATCCCTCGGTCTCTGTCCCCACAAGGCAGCTTCCCCTGACCTGATCTGGTTCCACAGCCGCTGCTTCCCTTCTGCCCCCATGAAAAGGCGGATCAGGAGGTCTTGCCGGCATCCTTCTGCCACCTGCAAGAGAAAAAAGGTAAGCAGGACGCCAGGAGTGCCTGCTTCTCTCACAGGTGAAACAGGGCATCTCTAACTACAGATGGGCCTTTGAGAAAGCCTCACCCGCTGAGTGCATTTGGAGGTTTGTGCCCATTTCATATGTTTGTTTGTGCAGAAATACATCTCCCCTCCTCTGGACCCTTGTTCCCAACTGTCTCCCCCCAAAACAAGATGAAAGGAATCCTCAGATGAGTTGGAAAACCAAGAGAATGAGACCAGTGGAGAAAAACCACCTTCCTCCTTACCCAGTGGCCTCTCTCTGGTGTCCAACGGAGGCCTCTCTGCCTCACAGGAATCCAGGTCCATTTCTGCAAAGAGATCCTTTCCCTGAGAAAGAAACAAGGATTCAAAACAGAGAATGGGAAGAAATACTAGAAAGAGAATGACAAAGACTTGAAGGGTGCGAGATCTCATTCCATCGATTCTTTCCCAGAAAAAGGATGGGCCATCAGCAGACCATTATGGGATGTTTTCTGTCCTGTTTGGAACCCCTTGGGAGTATCCAGAGGAAAGTCTCTCTCACCTGTTTACTCTGTTCCTGCTTCCTCTCCTGTGCCTGACTCAGGAGGAAACCTTCGGCCAGGGCCACCGCCTGCGAACTGGTCTCCGCTCCACAGTCCCTCACCCAGCTCTCCATCTCCGGGGGAAGGACAGCCAGGAACTGCTCCAAGATCACCAGGTCCAGCATCTCAGCTTTCGTGTGCCTTTCTGGCTTCAGCCACTGATGGTCAAGGTGGTAGAGTCGGCTGCAAACCTCTCGGGGTCCTTTGGCCTCCTGGCAGCAGAACTGCCTCAACTGCTGGCTCTGCACCTCTGAGCGGAGGGTGTCCACCTCACCATGAATCTTCAGCACCGAGTTTTCCCAAAAACCCCCACTGCTCCCAGTTTGGTTGGCATGGCCTCTTCCTGTTCCAGGGCCAGCTGAGTCTTGCTCATCCATCTGTGCTCTCAGGAAGCCTCTGAGAGATCAGAAGGAACCCTTTGGTCTTCTGCCAAGTTCTGTCCGTCTAAATGAGAAGCTGCAGCAAATCCTACAAAGCAAATACATTGTTCTGTTACAGAATTTGTAGGACGGGGGGGGGGGGGGATGGTTCCCTGAGCAAGTATGGATGAGTCTTGCTGGGAACCAGGGCTGAAGTGCGCCGCATCCCAGACCATGAGATATCTTTCTGATAAGAAAGAGGAGGAGGAAGAGGAGAAGAAATAAATCTCTAGCCTTCTAGCAATGCAGAATGTGGAGGCAACTGAAGGGATTTCTGTCAGATTAATCATCCTGGTTTCTCCATCCTTCCAGTCAATGCATGAAGCCAGAACCGAATGACAAGGGAGTCATTTGTATCTTGTGATAAATGGATGCTTTTCTCTAGTGGGGGTCCTGACCTGGGGGTCCTCGGGAGTTGAGAGCCAGTGTGGTGTAGTGGTTAAGAGCGGTAGATCCGTAATCTGGGGAACCGGGTTCACGTCTCCGCTCCTCCACATGCAGCTGCTGGGTGACCTTGGGCCAGTCACACTTCTCTGAAGTCTCTCAGCCCCACTCACCTCACAGAGTGTTTGTTGTGGGGGAGGAAGGGGAAGGAGAATGTTAGCCGCTTTGAGACTCCCTAGGGTAGTGATAAAGCGGGATATCAAATCCAAACTCTTCTTCTTCTTCTTCTTCTTCAGCCCCACCCTCACCCCACCTCCACTCCCTGCTTCTGTCCCCTTTTCTGCAATCTCTGCCGCTGTCCAGACAGATTCGTGGGGTGAGATCTCTTTTCTCTCTTCTGAGGGCCAGGAATGTATATGACCAACCCCCTGAGGGCCAAGTGGGCGGGGCCAAAGACATCTCCCTTGATTTTTGGATTTATTATTATTCTATTAGATAGCTTAACACAAACTGGTTTGCAATGCAGCAGCCAGACTATGGCCTGGGATCCCTCTCTTTATTCCTGGCCTCTCTTTCCTACTTTTCCTTCCTCCCTCCCCGTGGTTTGTTTTTTTTCCGGGGGGCTAGTGCTCACCTCCTCCTCCAGCTTTGGAAAACCATTTGCAGATGTTTCCTCGGTTGTGCAATGAGGCTGAGCGACGTCACACAGAGTTAAAGTCCCAGGGACTCCTTTGTTTAAAGAAGGGAGATT